GGAAGGAACTCACCAACCTGGAAACATAGCACTGATTCCACTGAACTGGAAGCTGAGAATGCCCCCTGGCCATTTTGGGCTCCTCATGTCTTTGAACCAACAGGTCAAGAAGGATGTCACTGTACTGAGTGGTGTGATTGATCCTGATTACCAAGGGGAAATTGGAATGGTGCTAATAATGGAGGTAAAGAAGAATATGTCTGGAATCCAGGAGATCCCATAGGCCATCTCTTAGTATTACCATGCCTTGTGATTAAAATAAATGGTAAACTACAGAAACCCAATCCTGACAGGACATCTAATGACAGACCCCTTAGAAATGAAGGTCTGAGTCATCTCAGCAAGCAAAGAACCATGACCAGCTGAGGTGCTGGCCAAGGGCAAAGGTAATACAGAACGGGTAGTGGAAGAAGGTAGTTCTACCTATCAGTTACGACCACGTGATCAATTGCAAAAGAGAGGTTGTGATTGTATTTCTTCTTTATATGTGCCTATTGAATATATTTCCTTTGTTAATGTACAATGTACCAGATACAATTAGATTCAGTGTGTTTTCATTTATATGTATGATAAATGTATGATATTAGGTACATGTGATTTCATTATGTCTGGAAATTATATGGCTAAAGAATTGTGTAAAAGTGCCAAAATGGGAAGGGGTGGACTGTGACAGCTAGGTTTACCATGGCAACTAGGCCAATAGGAATATGTGGGCAGAGTTTAAGCAAATCACAGCTTGATTGGAGGGCAACAAGATAAATGGATCTGGAAGGCCTGCCTCCATCGCTCTTGCTCCCTGGTGATAGAACCAGCGTGCTGCTGCTTGAGCAAGTTCTCTACTTCAGCTTATGTGCTACACTACCTCTGGGCCAACCCAACCCATGGATTGTGTCGCTAGAGCATGAGGCTCCTTTAAATCTGCTTCGCCAAGCTGCTGATGTATACACTGCTTGAGCTTGAGGTTGGCAGATCCTGTCACCACACAGTTTGAGTTCACGATCCCATCGGGGTCTGCCTCACTAAACTTCTGAGCTACTGACTGTTGCTGACCCACCCTGCTATTTGCTGCCTGCAGGCAGACTCTGCCTGACTTACCCAATGGAAGACTCCACTGATCTTGGACCCAGCAGCCCACATCAGTTGAAAGGAATTCCAGCATATTAACTGTTACACGAAAGTAAGTTGAACTGAGCCCTCAGTACGGCTGTGTGGACTAATTAGCTGTTATATTACTTCTCGTTGTATAAACCTGAATATATATATATACCTAAGTGTCCTGGTTTTGTTTCTCTAGAGAACTCTGCCTAGCACAATGAGGCAGTCATCTTCAATAGAAAACATAATAATAAAAATTAATTTCTTTCAAACTGTCAAGCACAGGTTTTCACATGAAAAAAGAATTAAGTCCTTTGATGCTTTTCAAGAAGGAGAGATAAAGGGAGGGAGGTGAAGTATACAGAAGACAACGTTCTTAGACATAACCAAACATCTTGATAGAATGTGTCACTCGGTCTGGAGGATCTGGCCACAGTCTCAAGGGACACCCAAGTCAAATACCATTTTCTACATCCTAATTTGTTAGATAGCAACTAAAAACTTGTCAACAGCCACCTAAGGTTAAACTATTGGTCTTTTCTGGTCCTGAAAAGAAGAAGAGTGATGAAATTTGTAAGACAAATAGAAACAATTGATCCAATGGACTAGTGAACCATGCAAACATTAATTTCCACTCCGAAAACCAGAAGAACTATACAGTTCTCAGTAACCACTACCAAAGGCTCTGAAAAGGAACAAATTAGAAGGTCCTGGATAAAGTTGGAGAAAAATGTGCAACAGAACTCAAAATCACATAAGAGATAAGGCTTACTGGTCAGATGGATCTCCAGGACTATATCCCTTACCATTTATGTCTGAAACTGAGCTCCCCCCTGCATTACAGTAACCAACCATTTAAGATTAAAAGGGCAGCATTTATTTGCCCAAGGACAAATCCAAAGGGTTAGGAGAGGAAGAGGAATGGAAACAGGAAACCCTGGTAGAAAGTAGATAAGTGCTAATGTATTCCCTCACCACTTCCACCCCCCACCCACCAAGGTTTTCTCCATCTTATTAAATGTCAAGGCAAAAGTAGCAAAATCATTGCTATGGATTCCAAATCATAGTGACCCTTAACAAAGAATCCTTGTAGCAAAGTGGGTTATATACTGGATGGCTAACCCAAAAGTCAGCAGTTCTAAACCACCTGCTGCTCCTCAGAATAAAGATGAAGTAGTCCCAGAAATAAACAGAGATGGTTCTAGTCTGTCCTGAATGGGAGTCAACTCAATGGTAGTGAGTTTATTCTGTTTGGGTTTTGAATGATCCTATAGACCTATTGAATACAGTAGGGCTAATAGTTGGGGTTTCCACTCTTTACGGGAGTGGATAGCTTCATCCATTCTCCCTTAGACAAAAGTAGATGGGGCAAAGGGAGCCCTGTTGACATAGTGGGTTATGAGTTGGACTGCTAACTGGAAAGTTAGTGGTTCAAGACCACTAACCACAATGTGAGAGAAAGAGGGGGCTTTGGGCTCCTGGAAAGATTTACAATCTCAAAAATCCACAGGGGCAGTTCTACAATGTCATGCGGGCCAGAATTGTCACGATGGCAGTGAGTTTGACAGTGAATGAGAAGGGGGAAAATTCATGATTTAGAGTTGGTTAGCTATAGTTTCATGAATACAGTAACTTTGCCTATCTTGTTCATTGATATGCCCAGCTTTTAGAACAGGGCCTGACATAGAAGGGTTAAATTTTTTTGTTTTGTTTAAAGTTGTTTAATGAGTGGATAATTAAATAACTTACTCTCCAGAGAAATACGTTTCTCTCCAGGACCCTCTGCCTCATTGTATTAGAATTGAGTTCTTGGTCTCCAACTCTCTCAGCTCAGGCCAGGAACCCAGCAGAGACCATGACTTGGTGCCTGAGGTTTCTTAAATATCACATAACATCTATAATCATATCATATCCATTGAGAGTTCAAAGCCTTTCTTTACCACAGAGCCAAAATGTTCCCTGGCCCAAAATTGTCACACAAATGAACCACAACACTTGTCACAGCACAACCAGACATTACTCACTGCCCATGACTGAATCCTCTCCATAGTTTTTGGCAGAATCTGGCTTCAAGCTAAGGGTTCACCTTAATCCTCCCACTCAGGTCTGGAGAGACTCACTCAGGTCCTGCTAAGGCAGACCTACAGTGTCTTGGGTCAAAAACCAACCCATCATTCTGGTCCCCAACATGTGAACACCATCTTTCTCCCTAGGTCAGAGGCCTTCACTGGCAAGATCATGCGCATACCGACATTGCTTCCTAAAGGCCTATGTCTGCTTCTCACACCCCTGATATCAGCTTTAGAACCCCCTGACTGCCCGTCACCTTTTCTCACCTGAGCCTTTCCAGTGCGGCCGGACTCCAACCGTCACAGAGCCTAA